TTGTTTTTGACTGCTTTCAATTTATTTCTGAGTTATTTGATCTCAATTTCTAAATAATGCAAAAAATTTTCAGGTTCCATACAGGTTCCATTCATATTGACAGACAGTGCTGATGTTTTCTTGATTTTGTGTACATAGGGTAACCACTTGTGGTAAAAGTTAAACTTATTCATGCAAAGTTTGTTAAACACTTGCAGCAACCTGTAAAAAACCATTATTAAAAAAAAAGTAAAAACTGCAGCCAGCAACAAAAATAGAGCAAACAGTAGGGATACAACATTTTCATATCCTCAGTTTCCAGTATAAAAAAAAAGTGAACTTTGGCTTAAAAGTAAGTAAAAAGTCATCTACTTTTTAAAAAATGTCACCCAACAATTTGAAAAAGGTTACCCCTAATGACCCTTAATTACTGGTTAGGTCCCAAATATCATCCTAAAGTATATCAACCTAGATCTCAAATTTTTTGTTTATTGTTTCTGAAATCATAATTTCTTAAAGATTTCAGAAACAATAATATAAATAAATAAATGTATACTTTGAAAATACAGCACAATCAAGTCATTGTTGGGTTCCATTTGACACAGTAATATATCAAATATATGCACCATTAATTAATGGTAAAGGTCCTTGTGACTACAATCTTGCTAATAATATGACACCATTATAGGTTATATATATCAGAGATTTACTTACTGCACTTATTTTCATGTGATTATACACTTTTTCTTCCTAATGTTTTTTTTACTTTTTATTTTCACTTTCTCACAATTTAACTAAAGTGCTCTTTTTTAGATTTGCTTTTACAAAAATTAGAAAAATATGTCGAAAAATTAGAAAAATATGTCGAAAAATTAGAAAAATATGTCGAAAAATTAGAAAAATATGTCGAAAAATTAGAAAAATATGTCGAAAAATTAGAAAAATATGTCAAAAAATTAGAAAAATATGTCAAAAAATTAGAAAAATAAAATATGACCTGTTTTATTTTACTGATGATTATCTATATATAGAATTTCCATGGTACCATAAGTATTTATTGTAACTAAATTTGATGTAATTGATGTAAAACTTAAGGTAACTTGATGTAATATTTTTCAATAATAAATTATCTAACACTATTTTGTGTTAGATAATATATTATTGAATCACAAGGACCATATAAAATTTGGTGGATGAGTCACAATTTATTGTAGAAATGGTATTAAGGCTTTTTGTTGTTTGTTGGTCAGAAATGTTCATTAATACAGTAAATGTTTTAAAATAAAATATTTTGATAAAATGGTCTTATTGTTTAAAATAAATAGATCATAATCACGAAATCAAAGTAAGTGCAAAAAAAATTTTAGATTGAAGCTCAATAGAAGTCTATGTTTAGTAGTAGTTTTAATGAATTTATAGTTTTAATGAAGCATTGAATACAGTTAAATTAATATATTTATTTTTAAAATTAATAACAAACCATTTTTAGCTTTAGGTACGCAAATAGTTTAGCTATAAGTATAATAGATACTTATGTATCGTCGCATAATCAAGTCATTATTATTAGTCTATTATTATTAGTCTATTATTATCATTAGTCTGATCAATTCAAATCATTAAAACTTTTCTTTCTTTGAAATTAATAAATTCATTAAATGAAGTATTAAATACAAGTTAAGTGATTATTTTATAGATTAGTCGTCTAGCCCAAAAGATTTTGGAATATATATGAACTGCGGCCTAAACTACAGAAAACACATTGACAGAGTCATCCATGTAGCAAAAAAAATGAGAAAGATCCCCACATGTTTTTTTTAATCAGCAATAACTGATGGAAGCGAGTGCAAACAAAATAAGCACAATTCACACACAAGTTTTTTACTTTTTGCTTTTCTATTCTTTAACTATTGCTCCAACAGCAAATCTCAGTGGTCTTTGCTATATCAACAAATAACTGAATTTAATAGTAGTAGTGCCGTTTCACTTACATTTTTAAAGCATTTTTAGTTAGTTACTAGGCTTTTCTGAACTTGAAAAGTGCGTTCTTAAAATGTATGCAGTGTTTTGAGCAAAGGCTACATAGCAAGTTAAAGCTTTTTTTCTTTTTAGAATTTAACTATTATTTATTAGTTTAGAAATATTACATAAATTATAATAGAAATATGTATGTATGTATGTATGTATGTATGTATGTATGTATGTATGTATGTATGTATGTATGTATGTATGTATGTATGTATGTATGTATGCATGTATCATTAAAATCATTAAAAAACGATCATTAAAAAAGTAAGTATAAATAATAGTTTCGTATATTACATTTTTACTAGATAAAAAGAAGCAAGGATCACTCTTTTCACTTTTTCAAATTGTTTATATTTTGTTTGTATTAGCTACTCTTTTATCTTTTTATTTATAGTTTTTTTAAGCAGTTTTGTTTTTTATTGAGCTTTTTTAACTTTTTAAAAAGTAAGGGTATGGATGAGGCCTAACATTTTTTTATAAATTTCCCAATACTTTATCAAAAACTGTTTATTTTTGCTGCTTTTGAATTTATTTATTAAAAAAGATAAAAATTAAATATACAATGAATGCAATTATTGTAAACCTTGCCTATTTTATTATGCTGATTAATATTTTATTGACATTTGATGTGATGCTATAATCTAATTTTTGTTCTTTTTTAGAAAATTCAGAAGAAAAAAGTTCAAGTTTTGAGCCAACACAGACATTTTGTAGTTTATAAAAGTTAAATTTTGTAATGATGATTGCAGTTCTTTTATTTGTTTTTATTTTGTTCTTTATTCAATAAGTATTTGATTAAAGTTAAATGTTATTATAACTTCATATTTTATCACAAGATAAGTATCTTTATATATGAATACATATGAATCTTTTTAAATTTTTTATTTGCACAATTCAAGTTATATATGTTTATAATTTGCAAATATGTTTATATTATGTTCAAAGTTAAAAAGTATTTAATAAATATGTGTTTGTGGTGATATATGTTATATAGTTAATAATAATTGTTTATTAATAATTATTATAATGTTGTTTCCATGATTTCAAAGTGGTGTGGCTTAGCAAACGTGTAAATAGGTATGCCGAAATACATGTTTTATGGAATCGAGTTTTATGCTAAAAATCTATTCCACGTTTTTAAGAGTTTGCATTCAGCCAGTATGGTAGAATAGTGTTTTTTTTTTGTCTTATATTTTAGAATTTTTACTAACTTAGAGTTAATTTAAAAGCAGAATAATTAAACCTTTTTACAGAGTAGTTTTTTATTATAATAATGAACGCTATTATATATTTTATTGCTATCAAAAACTGTGTTGTGTTTTATGTGCTTAGTAAATGTTGAAGATATTATCTTTCTTTTTTCTATCCTATTCTTTACCTTGAGTTTATACATTTTCTATGCACCTGTCAAATTATTGTTTTTATTTTGACCAGCACATTTGAAGACAAATAGTAAGTGTTAATATAACATTTAGTTATATTACTACTTACTATTCAACTAATTATAAAGTGAAATAGAATTTTTGTATTTGATATTAGATTTACTCATTTTAATAAAGATAAAAATTAATTAGTTATTTTTGAATATAGGCAAAGTTAAACCATCACACCACCATTGACCCTTAACTCAAAATTACACCACTCAGATTTAAAAATAAAAAAAAATTATAGCAATTTACATAAAGAAAAACTTAATTTTGACCACAATTTCTTCAACAAATCCATATATCAAAAATTTGCTACTTAAAACTCTATAACTTTTTCTAGAAATGTTCAATTTTTATAATTTTTTTCACCATTAAAATACTGTATTAAGGCTCTTTCTGATGATATATAACATTCTAGTAATTAATTGATTTAAAATTTTCATGTAACATGGAGAGCAAGATTTGTCAATCTTACCAGTCAAGCGGTGTTACTGCTTTAGAAATAGCCTTCAATATAACTATTCTGAAAATACATAAAATTATCTTTTTATAATATTTTTGGATAATGTTGTTACCTTTAGCTTATTTTTTTTTTGTTATATTTCATTATTGGAACTCACTATTTTTATTTACTAAAAGTCATTCAACTTAGTGAAGCAAGATTTGTTTTATTGTTTAGTGCAATTGGAAAGAGCTGAAGTACTTTTTATTCACTTCAAATCAATTGTTATTTTCTTTTTAATAGAAGGGTTAATAATAATAAAAATTTTTAGAGAGTGGAACTGATACTGACTTGAGTAAGTTTAATATTTTGTTTTATTTTATATTAGATCTATTTTATATTAGATATATTTTATGTATTTAACATGGAAAACTGACTGTAATTTGTTGACAGATAAGTTTATATACATAAATGTGCCTATATTTCAGTATATTTTATATTTCTCTGTATCTATATAATTATCTCAAAGAAAAAAGAAAAAAGGATAGAAAAAATAAATAAATTCATGCTGAAAAAAAATTATGATGCTTTTCCATATTTCATTGTTTAAAGTTTTATGCTTTTTTTTAAAGGTATATGATATATATATATATATATATATATATATATATATATATATATATATATATATATATATATATATATATATATATATGCATA